TCAATTTCATCAATTTCCAAATCATCCAGACCAAACACTGGTCCAGAGCTGATCTCAATTGTGGTTCCGTCTTCATTTGAACCTTGTGTTTCAGTAGTGGGGGAGGTTTAGATGAACCAATATCATGAAGATTTTGAGCGTTTTTCACCATGGCATCCATGCGATACATCCAATCTTGAATTTGCAGAAGATCATGAACAGTCTTGGCGTTGCTGAAATTTTATGCCCAATATTTTGCTACGGTTACCAATTCATGTTCCTTTTGTTGTTGTTGCTTTGTTTATTGATCTTTGTGGGCCTAGAGCACTCTGTAGAAGGCTTCGTACTTCCTGACTTCAGACTCATTGCTTGGTTGAAACCGGGTCCAGGAGTTATCTGAAAAATAAGCGTCAAATCCACGAGTACGCACCGGCGTGTCCCCCGGGTTCGTGTATCCTTGCACTAATGTGCTCACCATGACTAAACCGCTTGAGTGTAATATCACGGAGAAGGATTTCCTGAGCTTCCTCGATCTGCTTGACCTGTAGTCATGTTTGGCCTCGACTCAGTTCTGGTGGGCGAAAGAGGTGCTCTGCGTTTGGTTAGGTGTTTGAAGTGTTTGGGTGACGGAAAGGAGGATGGAGCGCAACTCCTATGGATCAAATATATGAAGATGGGAAGCCCTGGAGACCTTAGGGTGTTTTGAACCAATAGGATCCTCTTGGGATCTAATCGGGGGTGTGTCTCCACTGTCAGATGAAACAAACACGCTTACTGTGTTTGAGTAGTCAGAGAAGGTTGAAGCGAATAAGCCTGTGGGGTCCCCAAGGACTACCAGAGTCTTTTGAGAGACTGCGGTATCAGGTTAGTCATGCATATGGCTCGGGATAAGGATTGGACTGGAGTCATCTTCAAATTCTTCTTCAACATTAACTGGAATGCTTTAAGAGTTAGATGGGGAAGCAGGAGCTTCAGGATACAACTGTCCTGGATTTTCATTTCTTTGAAGTTTCTCCATGCTCGATCTTACTGTGGGGGAGCTTTCTTGGATGACAATAGTTTCTTGAGTTGTTTGGATAGCATTTGACTTGACTGCGCTTTGAATTATGGAACAAATGTAGATGTAGGAGTTGCGGTACTCATTGGACCTTGGGTTTTGTAGTGGCTAGAATGGGCTGACTGGGGTGAGGTGGGGAAGAATGGTATGGGTCAATACCATCCGTAGCCTCCATGTGATCAGTAACTTCTCTTGTTTCAAGTCTAATGGTCTTCAGAATATGTGTAGGTATTCTCCTAAGTGGTCCAAAAATCAATTGATCTTTTAAAAGATTGTACCTTTTAAAGTCGCGGGTGGCGAAGAGATTGGTGTCATCACCCATATCAAGTCTTGCATCATTTTGTAGATCCGAGATGCACAGAGACCAGAAGTGTGCAAATGTGAGTTCATTTGGACCCACTCTTGGGTTCTCCTTGGGAACATATTGTAGAAAATCGTCCCAAAGTATCTAACCATAGTTCGTAGCATTGCGTATGAAGATGCTCCACGCCATTTCCAGTAGTTTAAGACCCATGTTATCCGGAACTCCAGTTCTGCCAGAGAGACGGTGGATGACAAAATGGAAAACAAATTGAAAAATAGAAGGTAGTTGATTCTTCTTGAATTCTCTAATCCCTTTCAGATTCTTTTGATAACCCATCTGATACAGGGTTGAGGTGATGTTGTTGGCACTTGGAGAGTAGATTCTTGTTGAAGGAAGAACACGAAGATTAATTGCTTCCAAGAACTTTGCTTTAGTCAGAATAACTAAAGAATCATTGATCAACTTCAGATGAACTTCACGAGGGTTTGAGTTTGGGCGAAAAGTAGAGAAGGCGTATTTGAACAGGGTGGGTAGTGGAACGACATATGTGAATGAGTTGAATGCTCCAAACAGAGGGTGAGATGAAAAATACTTGATCATCAAGCGGATTGATTCATTGTATGACATATGATCTTCAAACACAACCCTAAAATTTCTTAAGGCTATCTTCGGTGATTGATTTCTGGTGGTTGATTCAAAACCAGTTGGTTACACTAGCCCACATGACTTGGATTCTTTCCTTGAAATACCAGATTTCACCATTTTGAAAAAGGTCTGAAGAATTTGTAGAAAACTAGAGTGCAAGAGGATGAAGAGGATGAAGATCGCTGCAAGGGTTCAGAAAGCGTAAAGCTTTCTTGGGATGGAAAAGGAGTTTATATAACACCGAATTTCAAACGATTATTGGATTTACCTTATCTACAACTGTTAATGGTAAAACCCCGTTGGGTTTTCACCATTATCAGCCAAAAATAAAAATAAATATATTTTTTTCCAAAAATGGGACATTTACAGAAATGTCAGGCCCATTACCACACGTTTGGAGAACGTGTGGTGAGGGGCATTAATCCGTTGAATAAAGATAGAAGTTGAAACGGATTAAACATCGTGGGGCAAAGAGATTTGACAATTTAAAGAAAAATATTCCTTAAACGATTTCTTTTATGGGAAAATGATTTATTTGTCATTTAACCTAAAGAAGGTCTGACACAAAAAGTGCTTTTGAAAAGAACTGAAACATTGTATGCTACAAAATGAATGTTTGTATTGAATATTCAATGAGGACTTTTTATTTAATGAAGATCATTAAATAGCACACAAAGTTCCAGAAATTTATGAAGTGATCGTTTAATGTGACTGCGGATGGATTCTTCATTGCGGTGGAAGGTAATATGATTGCGGTAGCATGAACTGAAAGGATCACTAGATAGACATTTAGAAATAACAAAATGGTAAAAGACCCAAAGAATATAAATATTATATATGATTGCGGTATACCAGGTATACTAAAAAGATATATATATATATATATATATATATATATATATATATATATATATATATATATATATTCTTCTAGGACCGCAACAGATACCAAGAGTGGTCTGCAGTACCTATCAATTCAAAAGGAACTGCGGGTCTGGATTCATCATCCCTAAAATTTATAGAAAAAATGTTTATTTTTGTTACATCGAGTGCCTTTGTAAACACATCAACGATCTCTTCGTGAGTTGGGACAAAAATTAGTTCGATGTTACCTTTAAGAATGTGGTCCTTGATGAAATGGTACCGGAGTTCAATGTGCTTCATCTTTGAGTGGTGAATAGGATTGTGAGAAATCGCTATAACACTCTCTGAGTTACAATAAATTGGTATCCACAACATTCTATATCCGTAGTCCATTAGTTGGGTTTTCATCCATAGGACTCGAGAACAACACCTATCTGCGGCCACATACTCAGCTTTTGCGGTAGACAACGAGACACAATTTTGTTTCCTTGATGACCAGCTAACAAGTCTTCCTCTAAGAAATACAGCCACGAGAAGTACTTTTCTTGTCTAATATGCATCCAGCATGATCCGCATCTATGAAGGCTAAAATCATTCCATGCAGGATACCAGAGGCCGAGAGCTTTGCTTCATTTGAGGTATCAAAAGATTTGCTTGATTGTGGTTAAGTATGATACATTCAGATCGGCTTAGTATCTGGCACATAAGCCTGTCGCAAATACAATATCCGACCTTCTTGTGGTGAGGTACACACTACTAGAAAAACAGCATTTTACGACGCTCATTACGCGTCATAAAGGGCTCAGACGACGCGCAAATGCGCGTCAAGGAAGGCCCTGTCATAAAGAGAGACGACGCGCATTTACGACGCTCATTTACGACGCGCATTTACGATGCTCATTTACGATGCGCGTTTACGACATGCAATGCGTATCAAGAAAGGCCCTGTCATAAAGGAAGACGACACGCATTTGCGTGTCGTAACCTTACGACGCGCGTGTTTATGACACGCATTGCGTATCAAGGAAGCCCCTGTCAAGAAAGGCCATGTCATAAATGAAGACGACACACATTTTTGCGTATCGTAATTTTAATTTTTTTTTAAAATTATTTATAGATTTACTGAATTTCAAATTAAATTTGCATATCATGTCTCATAATAGAAAATAAAATACCATATACAAAAAATACAATACATTGCACAAAAGTTAATGTCATACAAATAATCATTCCAATAGTAAAAAAATGTAACATTTAAACATTTTTTATATAATTAACTAAATGATTAGCCAAATTTCCTAAAATACCAACATACTTTTCTATGAAGAGTATTAACATTATTCTTTTCCATCAAAAACTTAAAAACCTGCATAATTAAATTAATGTGTAATCAGCTATAGAAATTTGTGTGAGCATATGGATAATTCTCTATAAACACCACATAGAGGTATATAAGTGAAGTCAGAAGTCAGAACTGTAAGTAAGGCTAAAGATGCAGCAACTCACAATGAAAAAGTTGACTGATAAGACTCTGGAACCGTTCTTGCATCATTAGTAGAGGAGCAGGGGGAAATGGGAATTGAGGACAAAATGATGTTCCTGTTTCAGGGAAAACACCACCAGCTGGACTGATAAGGTGACAGAAGGTCAGTAAATATGAATTTTTAAAACAAAAAATGATTAGTTTTTAACATTTTTTTTATAGAAATCCACACGTGTCGATTTTGTCTCCAATCACCATGTAATAATTGCTACTTATATGGTGCATTAAGATACACAAATTGATTTCTTTTCTATAGGACTTTAGAAATGTTATAGATACACCATAAAATATCAAAAAGTTATAATTGAAAGAGTCATAAAAAGAAAGTTTTCATAAAAAAGAAAGTTACATACACCATAAAAGAAAGTTAGTCACCAAGGAAAATAGAAGAAATAGGGGAGAAGAAAAGAGGGACAAGAACAGCAGAACCAAGAAAAAACAGAGGAACAATATTGCTTGGTGCTAAAGGTAACTTAACTGAATAAAACAATACTAGTATGTACTTTCACTTGTTCATGAACTTACTTTAATAGAAAAAATATAGCATACCTATCGAGTTTCTCCATGAAGTCAAATCCAAGTATATCATCAACACCAAGAGCACTAAGCTACAAAATAACATTAGAAAGGTTGCCTCTTTTGATCTCTGGCGTTGTGGAATCATCATGTCCCTCAAATATGCTCTCTGGATAAAGACAGAAGCATTTCCCAGCTCCTTCACGTCCTGCACGCCCACTACATCATTAGAAAAAAATTAAAGTTGAATCACATTTCCATCTTATTTTATTATATTCTCTGCCATCTCAAAATAAAATGCAATGTTTAACTTGACACTTAGTTTAATGAAGTAAACATGGCTTTATATTTGGTCCCTGTATATGTAGATGTGAAATCAATGTGCTTACCTCCTTTGAAGAGCTTGAGCTTTTGAAGTTGTAAGAACAGTTAGAGACTCAATGCCACTATCAGGAGAGTAACTCCTCACTTTTACCCATCCAGGATCAATCACATACTTAATTCCAGGTATTGTCACTGATATTTCAGCAATGATAGTTTCCAGTATTAGCTACAGTAACAAACACACAAATTTGACTTCAGGAAAGTAATTAGGGGTGTAAAGGAAAGCTTTGGATAGAGCTTAAACATTTATTGGTACGTGATTTGCGCCACTACAACTGAATCAGCCTACAAAGTCCAAGAGAAATACAAGTTGAGATACAAACCTTTGTTGGTCAAGTATGGATGTTTGATATGGGTGTTCTACTCATCAATCTCGTTATCATTAATTTACAACCTGGTGGATGATAAAATTAAAGTTACCTAGCCCAAGGATCATTCCCGTCCCATAGATCTTTTGTTTCTAGAGCCATCTCAGCTAGGGTTATTCCTTCTTCTGTCGACTCCACTGAATTATCCTTAAGCTGTATATTGTAATGATGTGTAGTGAAACAAACAATGAGATACTCATACAATGGATATGGATAACAAGACATCAAAAAGGAAAAAGAAGGGCAAAAAAGTAAAATACGAGGCCACGCATGAGAAGCTCAGCTACTTTAGCTGCAACTGTGTAACGTGCAGCATCCTTGCTAGGCTGAGAATGAGATGCAGATCAAAATATCAAAGTTGTTAAGTAACTAGTTCCTTTTTTACTTTCCCAAATATTTTTTAAACATCATTTATCCGTACAACACTCAAAGTAAGAAGACATACCTCACCACTCATCAGCAATGGGTTTCTTCCCTCATCAATTAGGACATAATCAACTTCATCAACTATTCCCTCATCAATTAGGACATACCCCATCGTGTTTCTCAAACCTGCATGATCAGAAGGGGAATTCTTGAATGGAATAAAAAATTCATTAACTATAACAATTATTTAACTATAACTAAACTTTTATTATACTTCAAATGATTACAAAACAAGTAAGCAACAAGACTGACAAAAATGTTTCAAAAAAAAGTTGAAAATTATATGGCATGGGACAGGGGTATTTTAGGCATGAGAGAGCTTGATGAGATTTTAGCAAATATATTTCAGCAAGTATATTTCAGCAAGTACTTACATTTAACATAGAACAAAGATTTCAAGCAAATAGATTTAAAAAAAATTCAAATCATATCCCAACTTCAGATTTCAGCATGAGATTTTAGCAAATATATTTCAGCAAGTATGTTTGTTTCAACAGTTCATTGCAGATGGTGACCACGAAGGAAGATTGATGGGTACGAATTTATCATCACCAAGTAAAAAATACGCAGATAGAAGACATGAATTAGCCCATCTCCAAAACGAAGGATTTATGCTAACGGGTTCAGGTTCAGGTCCAAGTCTTCATCTTGTAGCGGTGGATGCAGGGGTGGCTGAGCAGTGGTGGTCCAGGTTGAGTTCGTCAGTTCAAAGAGAGGGGATAATCAAATTCCTGTAATTGATGCGAAGGGAACAAATAAAAAAATCTTTGTTTTGCCCCTAAACAATAAAAAGGGTTAGATACAATTAGTGGCATAAAGGGAACAAATCAGAAAACATGTAACCTGTAAGACGTGAGCAAGTTACAAGAACTTTCTCTCTGTTTCTAAACCCTGGAGTGGTTATAGAGTCTTGTGTGTTTTCCAGCTAGTCTTTCCAACCAATAAGAGTCCTTTTAGTTCTCTCATGCGCCGTTTTATCCTTATTTGCCACCGAAACCTCTACTTTGGTGTGTTTTCGTAGGAGAAAGTTAGCGGGAAAATGAATGAAAGGGGAGATGACGAAAAAGATCTTGATGTTTGAGAATTTTGGGTGTGCGAAAGAATTTTGGGTGGGAATGAACCCTAAATCTCCAAGGTGGGGTTTTCTACTTTTTTAGGTTTTCTAATCGAAGTAGGGAGATCAATCGCCTTTTTATGAGTGAAGACCTGGTGGAGAAGGAGTCCCCTCCCTACATGTAATCTGCTGGCGACAAGGAAGAACAACCAAGGAGACCGCCGGAGCATCTCCCCCCCCCCCCAAGCTGTGGCAGACAAGAGAAGCGTCGCTGCTTCTCCCTTCTCCTTTTGTCAAATCGATCCCGCACCAGAGGTGCTTCCCCTTTCTCGATTGATTTCCATCATCGAGCCACCATGGCTGCTTGCGTTCCCATCTTCCTTTCTCGATAGATGAACCACGACCACCGGACCAAAACTCCCGCTACCTTCGTCATTATAATTCCCCTTTTTCGATTTATCTGTGGGGAATAAGAAACAAATGACAATCAATATTTGGATTCTAATATTGAGACTTGAGAGTATAATACTTAATTAGGGATTTTTCTGAAAATTTCAACATCGAGTGGGGAATAAGAAAACTATTGGCGAGTATTCTCAATAACAGCAGAGAGATGAAGAAGGTGAAATTACAGCAACAATGAAGTAGATGAATGGAAATCAGAAGCCCTTTTTCTTGATTGAGATGATGAAGTCGAGAGATGGAGATGAAATCGTAACCTTCGATCTTTGATTGAGAAGTTGCACAACAGTGTGAGGAGAGTGAAAGATGCGTGAAAATGCTTAGGGCAGGGAGGGTAGCGGGCTTTTCTAATTTTTTGGCTTTTCTTTTCCCGCTTGTAACTAAGGAACGCGCGTTCATTAAAATTATAAAGCGACACATATAGAGGGCGAGCATTTAAGGTACAGCGCCCTCCGTGTTTTTTTTTTCTTTTTTCTTTTGACACTAATTTAAAGGCACGCAATAATGCGTGACCTAAATCCTTAAATTTTCTGAAGAGATGACACTTTTTTAATGTCACTCTCGTTTGCGTAACATATATTAATGAGTGTTGTAATTTGCGCGTCGTAAAAGGCTATTTTTCTAGTAGTGACATCAGAGACCCAATCATTCCGCGATAGGTTTTGTGGTCAATTGATTCTTTAGTTGGATCTGCAGAAATCTTATCCAAAGGCTATAGGGATATTGGCTGCGAAGCAATTATCCATAGATTATTTCTTCAAAAGCTTAGAGGTATACTTCTCTTGATTAATGATCAAAGTCAAACAGTCAACATACAGACCATTTCCACGCCATGGCCTTCCTTGGCCATGCCAGGACAAAACAGTTGAGGTTTTCAAACTCTGCAACACCGTGGTCAACTTTGCCTCCCCGTAGAAAATTATTTGAACTGCCATTTCTTAACTAAGTACTTAATCCTTGCATAACTAAATCCAAAACTTAAGATGTACTCCTTCTCAATGACTTAATGGATCAAGTTTCCAACTTTATCCATTAAGAACCTCATCTAAAGGTAAAATCATGAACATTATGTCCAATAAGCACTTAATATGACCAAAACTCAAACATGGGGTCAAGAACACTCAAGATAAGACCTTTTTCTTGCTAACATCAGAAGTTTATGACCATGAAAGAACCATATCAAGCTCCGGAGTTCCTCAAACTCCAAGAGCATCCAAGAATGGGACCAAAACATCCAAAAATGGGCTCAAACATCAAAGAAGAAAAAAAGGTCCAGATATGAACTTTATGCATCCAATAACTCGGAAATATGGAGAAGATGTTGGATCCAAGATTGTTCCCTTCTTCCTTACACCAAGGTGTACTTTTTTCTTCTTCAAGTTTCACCAAATAAAGGACATTAATCTCAAGATCAAGCCACCAAGCTCATTTCCATGTATAAGAGACCAGGGTTTCGAAATGAATGGGATGGAGGCCAAAGAAAATGACCTAGAATGGGGGTTAATATGCTTAAATATGGGAGAAACCCTAAAAATACGTGGGCTTGGGGCTAAATAGCTACTACACCGTGGTGGCTCCATAAAATGTGTGTTCCTTTCTGACATGGACATGCCGTGGGCATCCTTGCACCACGTTGTGACACAAAGTTTTCTTTAAAACTCCATCTTTAGTCCTTGGTGACAAAAGGCTTAACCAACCTAGAACTCGGGTGTTACAACTCTCCCCCACTTCAATTATATTTCGTCCTCAAAATCCGCTCTTACCACTTACTCTAAAACACCCTTTAACCTCTTGTGGGTTCTTCCAATTCTCATTCCCCCTATACAATTTTTCGTAGTTTTCACATCACGAACAGTAACCAAGAACGTATGGATTCCAATTCTGATCGCACATTCCAAACCTTTGAGAGACCCAAAAGGCTGGGAACACCATGATTTCCGAAACTCCGAATGACATCATAAGTGTAACATCCCAAAATACGACCCAAAATTTTTTGTTTAATCATGACTAAATCATTATATGAATATCATAAAATAAAAACCCATACGTCAATATCTCAAAACCATATTAAAGTATCATGAGAAAACTGTATCAAGATTGTATTGAATCATATATCTACGAAAAACTGAATCGACTCCCAGGACAAAAACTAAAGCGGTGGTGTATGCGATGCCATCATCCCGAGCTCTTCCCTTTACTTGTGGAAGTACCTGAAACCAAAACTGAAACTGTAAGCACGAAGCTTAGTGAGCTCCCCCAAACTAGCACATACCATACAATAACATATAAAGCACATACTGGGCCTTGCCCACTGCATCGGACCGAAATCCGGAAACTGCATCAGACCGAAGTCCGGAACTAACCAGGGCCTTTCCCTCTACATCGGACCGGAGTCCGGAAACTACATCGGACTAAAGTTCGGAACTGACTGGGACCTTGTCCCCTGCATCGGATCGAAGTCCGGAACTAACTGCATCAGACCAAAATCTGGAACTCACTGGGACCTTTTCCCCTGCATCAGACCGAAGTCTGAAACTAACTGCATCGGACCGAAATCTGGAACTGACTGGGACCTTGTCCCGTGCATCGGACCGAAGTTCGGAAACTGACTGAGCATAACATAACATAGCATAAACATATCAACTAACATAAGCACATATACTGCATACTGCATCGGACCGAAGTCCGGAACACATAACACGAAACATGCTTGAATCACAAAGACATCAAGCAATCTAACTATTGCATTGGACCGAGGTCCGGAACTACTGCTAACTAAACGGGCCGACATTGTGGTTGTAGACCTGTTCCTACTGGAAGGAAACTTACCTAGTAGTTTGGCTGCTGAATGAACTGCTTTGGAAACTGTCTGCTGCTGCTCCGGTATCTCCCCGGCTACAATTTCCATAAGTACACTCAATCAAATACTAATAACTATACTGAGGGTAAAATGACTATTTTACCCTTGGTCAAAGTCAACCTCTTGGTCGAAGTCAACATACAATTGACCTGACTCGTCGAGTTGGGCTACCAACTCATCAAGTCCCTACTCTTATTTCTCATTTCTGCTCGCTACTACTCGTCGAGTTTGGCATAGACTCGACGAGTTCCTCTTTGATACTAACACTTAGTCAATCTGCATCTGAATCGCCGAGTTGTATGAACAACTCGTCGAGTTCTCCTTCAACATATGAACAATCTGACTGTGACTCGCCGAGTTGTATGAACAACTCACCGAGTCTGTTCTTGAGATATGAAGATTTCCTTGGACTCTCCGAGTCAGGGAATTAACTCGCTGAGTCCCTCCATGAATGAGTCTGATCTCCGACTCACTGAGTCCACCTAAACCTCATTGGTTCCACTCGGCATAATACATGAAAGGGGAAAAACTCGGGGACTCACGACTCGACTCGTCGAGTCTGAAGAACGACTTGCCGAGTCGGTTGCATGTAACTTCTATACAATTGATTCTGCTCAAAACCAATGCATACAACTTATAGATATGGGTTCTTAAGGCTTGGTTACCACGTAAAGTTTCCAACTTTACGTGTACATATGTATGAAAAGGGATATAAAGGCTCAAAATACACTTAAAAGAGTAGATCTAGGGATTTCATGGAAAATGGGTCCATAAAGGTGTTAGATCTAAGTTTTTGGAACTGAAACATGGCTAGATCCGAAGGCTATTCAACCCAATGCGATATCTCTACTATAATCAAGCTAAGAAATGGATAAAAATGGCCTAAATGGGATTTCTAATGGAAGATCAACATAGAAACAGAAGAGATTCAGATTATACCTCAACAAACTCTGGATTAGACTCTAGATCTTTGCCTCTCACCTTCCCTTTTAGTCCGTCCTTCTTTCTTTTCTCCAAACTTCAAAAGATACACAAGATATGCTCAAAATGCTCAAATAAAGGCTAGGGTTTGCTCAATGACGTTCTGAGGGTGAAGGAGGCGAGTTTGGGGCTCAGAACATGGTTTAAATAAGGTACAAACCCTAAAGATTAGGGTTTCCTCCAGACTCTCCTACTCGTCGAGTCCAGGTGCGGACTCGCAGAGTGGATCACTTAAACTCGCGTCCAACTTGTCATCTACTCGACGAGTTAGGGCTACTACTCACCGAGTAGCTCTTTATAAAAGACATTTAATGAATTAATACGTACCAGGAATGGGTGTTACAATAAGCAAGAAATATGTAACTGGAGAAAGACATGCCTCATAACTAACTTGTAAGACCCAATTTCCAGAGAAAACCGCTTAAATCGAAAACTCTCAAAACTACAACCACAAACCAACTCCATTAATACACTTCCCGAAACCGAGAAATCATAAGTTAAAACTTCAGAACCCATACCCTGAGACTGATAATAATCCATTTGACCTACCTACCCCTAGTTCCCTGACCAGGAACACCACTAATTCATGCCGAAAGAAAACTTAAAACATCCCGATCGTTAATCTCCAAAAATTTCAAATCTGGAAGTTGTGACAAAAAACCTTATATATACTTTTGACTTCCTGACAATTTATCAACAACCCACTGCTTCCAAGATAATAATGATGGTTTATCCAAGAATTTCATGTTGCATTCAAATCCCTTATCATATCGGGTGTACATTAAACTCACAAATCACTCGAGACATTTACAACGAACCTCATGACTCGAGATTTCAGAACCAATACCTAATATTCATAACAACACCCATAATAAACCATCCTTAATAAAATAGGGTCCCCAATTGCAAACCTTCATCAAGCGAATT